AAATCCTTACACTGACTGTACTGATGCGGTATTGTTGGGTTCTGCTGTCTACTCTGTTCACAGGAGCTATTTAATCAAAGTGGTTTTGAGTGAACACAACCTCTCCAGTAAAGAGGGTGTTGAGCAGGTGTTCAATGTGTCCAAAGTTCTGGTGTATTACTATTACAATTCTTTACAGTTTTTTAATAATATGTCACAATATTTTTTATGTTTTAATTTATTCTACTGTAATATTCTTTAAAATGTAATTTACTCCTGTAATGGTAAAGCTGAAGAGTCACATGATGCTTTAGAAATCAATCTAATATGCTGATTTGCTGCTAAAGAATAATTTCTGATTATTATCAATGTTTCATTATCAATAATTTATAATATTATCAACAGTTGCAAATGCAATTTATAACATTTTCCGTTTTCATTCATTGTTGGATCTGTGCATTAGCTGGAAAAGCCTGCAGAGTTCAATGCCAACATTCAGCCAGCTCTGCTGCCAACCTCACTCGCTCCCTTACAAGGGGGCACGTTTTGCACGGTGAGCGGCTGGGGCGTCACTCAGGTCTACAGTTATTACCTGTCCCCTGTCCTGCGTGCTGTGGACATCCAGATCATCCCTCAGTGTCAATACTACTACTACTACAGAATCACAGACAGCATGGTGTGCGCCGGCTCCCCGCTGGGCGGCAAAGACTCCTGCCAGGTGAATCCGAGCAGCAGGGCTTTTGTTCTGAAACACAAAACACAAAGAGAGACGATATGCATTCAAAATATATTTCCGATAAAACAAACAGCATCATATAACACTTAGCACTGTGTGATCCTGAGGTGACACTGTGCTTTGTTTGGCTGCAGGGCGACTCTGGTGGGCCTCTCATCTGTAATGGTTATTTTGAGGGGATCGTGTCCTGGGGCATCAGTTGTGCCAACAAGTATTTCCCAGGAGTCTACACCAAAGTTCGCAACTACGTCTCTTGGATCAACTGGATAATCGAAAATGACAACACCAACTAGAATATTCTTTTTGCAAAGGTTATTGAACTGCCACACCATAGAAATGACACCAGACGGTCAAAAAGACCCAGTATACTGAGTACAGCGGTCAGTGTCTGTTAGATAAGATAAATACCAGCATTGAAACTTGTTTTATTCTGTTACGTTCTCAAACAAGGATGTTCAATTGATGCATGAAAGAAAAGAGCAGAGCAGGTTTTGAATATCACACTGCAAAAAATTATTTTCTTAATATTTTTGTCTCGTTTTCCAGTACAAATATCTAAACGTTCTTGAATCAAGATACATTTAAGCAAAATTAAAAAAATATCTGCCATTGGGGCAAGAAAAATAAACTTGTTTTCCCTTTGAGTTAAGATGATTTTTCTTGCCCCATTGGCAGATACATTTCTTTAAGCAAAAACTAATTTTGATACATTTTTTTTTAGAAAACAACTTAATATCTTAAGTCATTTTGCTTCTTAAGTAAATGTATCTTGATTCAAGAATGTTACGATATTTGTACTAGAATTTGCGGTTAAATTGATGTTTGTATTGGCGTAAAATCAAATTCCAACAAACTTAAATGGTCATCTTGATTTAAATTCTTTTTATTTTTATTTTCTTCCAAGGCAGAAGATTATAAAATAATAAATCAAATATCTTCCCAGTTTACTATTGCTGTTGGCCTATTTATCTCCAGCTGTCTGATGTGAAAAGGAAATGCTTTTTCATCATTATTCCATTGGGAATATCACTGTATTATAGTGCAGTGACCTTTATACCTCGTCCTCACTGTCTCTCGGTGTGGCTAAGGGAAAGGTTGCTAATTTGCCTCTGACTGGAAATTACATAACTTTGCAGAATGACAGCATCACACACAAGCGTCAGGGAGGTGGGAGATCTGGGAAAAGAGATTGGATGCCGGATCTGGAAAAACAGAGTCACTGGCAAGTCTGTTGAGCCGCAGAAACACAATACATACACAGCACAGCACCATGGGAGATCAAAAGATGAGACGTGAGCTTATTAATGGGTTGAATGAGCACTTGTCTGGAATAAAAGAGTTGATCTGGAAATCCCTAGAGGCCAGGAAATTTGCCTACTGCCCCTACAGCAAGTTCAGAGTCGGGGCGGCACTCCTGACACACGACGGGACGGTTTTCACAGGTGAGGGACTGCTTGAAATGTACCGCAAGTTGTACCAATATCAGAGAGTTTCAGCAGTCAGTTCCCAGTGCTGGCTGCGTAAGAAACATCAACTGCTGTAACAAGTGTTTGTGAATACTGTGTGAATAATGTATGAAGGCTGAACTCTAATGTGTGCTCAGTTTGTTGCCACTCTGAGAGCAAACATGTCGGCAAAATCACATAAAAGCTTGTTAAACCATTACATGCCAACAGAAGGAAGACTAATGGGCAGGTAACACTTCTGACACGTGAATGAGACTTAACACATGCTTTATGAGTCCTTATTATGCGGCTCTTGAATCTGATTGGTCAATCGTGACAATCAGTGGTCAAGCATTTCCTGATCTTCACTGGCAATGCTGTCAGTCAGCTCATCCGGGACGGGTAACTGAATCCGGTGCTATATGTCTCTCGTATCACACTGCAGACTCGCTCTCTTTTCATTCAAACACAACTGGCGCCATCTTGCACCTCAGCTATCGACTGTAGTAAAAGCTCATCTTGTTGCTAGACAAATTGTTTTGTATATTTTAATGCGTTATTTTCTCGTAGTGGGAGCTAATATACAAGTAAAGTTATATATAATGTAATTTCTGTGTCGAGGGTTCTGATGCTTTTTTTTTTTTTTGACAATATGGAGCATTCTCTCGCAAAAGTATTGCATTCCCTCGCAAAAGCACTAAAATATATACTTTTTTCCATCAGTATGTTCCCTTCGGGGCTCTCACAAATCTCACAAAAAAAAAATTATTTTTTTAAACATTTAAAATATATTTATTAATACTTAAAAATATTTTGCCCTCTATATTTCAAATTCAGTCCAAGAAAATACATTCACATATGTCACATGCCCCTGAAATACATTTGAGTATATTTTGAAATATATTTGAGTATTTGAGGGTTGAAAGTAAATATATTTCAATTTCAAAACTAAAGTTCATTGAGCTTCACTGTTTACAACATATATTTAGCATAAATGTACAATATATTTTGGCCAGGAGAAAAAAAAAAGCGTATGGAATAAAGACCAACTGACTTATTAATAAATTGCTCATTATGTAGTCTATAAACACTGAACAAAACTGGTATTATGGTATTCAAAAGCAATACACAATTCTGTTGATCTGAACACGCTAATGCTCAGGTTAACTAACGTTACTGATAATAACTGTTTGATCCGATTAAGCAATGCAGTTGTTTATTGCTCTTCAAGTGACACAGCCTTGAACTGCGGGGAAACAGCACTTAGTGTTCTTCAGACAGTGACCATACTGTTAGTCACTGCAGTACACACCAGTGGCACGAGAGAGGACGTTTTTGTCGTAACAAAAAGTAAATAAAACTTGGCCCATGACCTGACAGGCCTCTTCCAGACCAGCCAATAGAAATCAAACTCGGTACAAAACACGAGTGCGAGATGTACCTTACATAATATTTATTTGTCTTGCGTTCACAGTGTGATGTAACATACTTGGACATTTAAACTCTCATTTAAACTTCATTATTTCTCTACATAAGGCTGTAATGTGGAAAACGCGTGCTTCTGCTTGGGCGTCTGTGCTGAGAGAACTGCCATCTCAAAAGCCGTCTCAGAGGGCTACAGGGAGTTCAAAGCCATTGCTATTGCAAGGTAAATTTCTACTGCATTCAACAGGCCCTCTAGTGGTTGAATAACATTTCTAACTAACTCCATATTTGAAAATGGCCTCTCTTGGTATAATACAGCATCAATAAGTGTCTTCTGCTCTTTTAGTGATATGTGTGAGCACTTCGTTTCCCCCTGTGGTGGCTGCAGACAATTCATGAGAGAGGCAAGTTTCATTTACCACAGTATTTCACATCAATGAAACAAGCAGCATACTCAGGTTTCATTAAACATGTTATTTTGGTTTTCACCTAAACAGTTCGGTGCAAACTGGGACGTGTATTTGTCCAAACCTGACGGTTCCTACGTGGAGATGACTGTGGAGGAGCTGCTGCCTGCGTCTTTCGGTCCAGAGGATTTAAAAATGAAGAAAGTGAATATTCGGAACGAGTTTTAAATCGCCACTTTAGACAATGGACGCGTTGTACCTGATAGTTCTGCTGTGTTGACAGAAAAACAGTTTAGTTGGATTAACGGTGTTTAATAATGCGTGTTACTGTTAGGGAATGTTGTATGAAAATTTGTAAATTGCTAAAAAACATATTTTGAATAAATACAGTCAATACAATTATATAAGTGAACACATGTTGCTACAGTACAAACTTTATTATTATTTTTAAACAATGCACATGATCTATAAATCAACCACAAAAAGTGCAACATAAAAATAACATCATCTTCTTAAAAGAAAATGGCAACTGATGATCTAGAGACATTTTTAAATTCTTAACCTCAAGTGGTAGTGATAATTCAGATGCAGTAAGAACCTCTATTTTAATATTGAGTTCATGAATGAACGAATCCTAAGCAAGTCATCAAAGTGCAAAACATGAAACAAATGACATTAAATACATTATGGGCTTGAAGGAAAGGCAGCACATACACAAAATGGCAGTAACATCTAATATCTTCTCAAGTTGTCAAAATATGATTTTTCATGCAGCACGGTTTAATAAATTTGTAGTTGGGAGATTTTGCATAAGGAGAGTAGATTGACTAAACCTTTTCCACACACATACACACACACACACTCACACTCACACTCACTTTTCTTATTCCGATTATCCACATAGTGACTCTGACTGCAAAAAAAGGCAGAATGGCAATCTTAATACGAGCTGCTTCTGAAACCTGGGCCGTTTCTTGAATTCACAGGACCCTGGATGAAATTATAAGGATGGGCCGTAGCCGCCACATACCCAGCAGTGTAAAGACACATTTAGCCCTGTTGGAAGCTATAGAGTGGCTTTATCTGGGTATTGGCATCCATACAGTAATGAAACAACCATACTAACAAAAAGACAGTGTACGTTACAGATGGAAAGGAGTTTTGCCCCTAAAGCAGCCGACGAGCACATGGTGCTCTAAATAAAGAAACCCTCTACTCATCACCAGTGCGTTTTACAGAATAACTTAATATCTTTTAAAGTAAATTTGGATCACAAAGATGTTGAGAATTCAACACCTTTCACGTCACTACAACACACCTCCTGCAATGGGCCTGAGGTCAAATGCGAGTCTTATTTCTGCGGCGTTATGGTGTCCAGACCGGGCCAGGCCGGAACGTAGTGCCTTGGTAGAGTTCCCTCCATAAGCCTCTCCATCCACAGACCCAGTCGGTCTAGTTTGTGGTGGATCTCCAGAGTGGTGGCCTTCTGTCGGGAACTTGACCGGGACCTCGAGGCTCTGCTTCGACCGGCCGTCGCCGCATCCTCGTCGGACCACCTACTACATTCGGCTTCCTCCCCTTTGAAGACGGGTCTGAATAGGCAGAAATACTTCTTGTGGCCGTTGAGCGCCAGGACGTGGCCAGTGTTGTCTGATTTGTTGGAGGTGGAATCCTCCTCTTCTTCCTCTTTGTCCAAGCAGTCTGACGGCCTGGCGTCGGGAGCCGACTCCATGAGGGAATCCATCCATTGGCTGTGCTTGTCCACATTTAAAAAGGAGTAGTGAAGAGTCTGAGACCTGCGGGAGGAAGTAAGGATGGTTTCCTTTGGATTTGTTTGTTGCAAGATATAAGTTGAAAGCAAAGGGTGTTCAAAACAGCTTCTGGAGATCTACTTTCTTTCAGTGTTTAATTCCATGTAATGTAATGCTACTTGGAAACAGGAACAAATGGACATTCGACTTCATATATAATTGACGTTCCACTGTTTTTTCCCCCATGTGGAGGTGAGAGAATTCCAGTTTGAGTTGTCTGGAAAGCATCATGACTGGAAATCAGAATTCTGCAACTTCTAACTTGTAAATGACCTCTTGAATGCTACTCAAGTTCAGATATCTGACCCCTAACGTGAGAAGCGTCATTTAACATTCTTTTCAAATAATGTTCCATTGGTTGTTCCAAGTGGAAGTGGAAGAATTCTGGGTTGAGTTGGTCGGAATGCAGCATGACTAGAACCTTTTTATGTTGGAAGTGGGAAATTTCAATTGAAAAAAAAATGTAGATTTTGTCTGGAATGCATAAATACATAACTAGGGTTTATGGTTGAGGTCTGCAATCAATATTGTGAGATCTGTTTTGAACAGTTTTGAATTGCTGAGTGCAGGAGGGATGATATCGATGTGTGCCAAAAAAGAACTGACTAGCTGGATTCCTGCAAAATATAAGTATCTAAAAATAAAATATGAAGTTACTCAAATTTATTTTAGGTTTTTAAGGTACAGAATGTTGTTTGTCTATTCAGCAACAAATATAAACCGTTTACAGGTGATTGTGCATTGCAAGGACTTAGGGTTTACAAAAGTAACATACCTTTTAATTGTGCACGTTGACCAATTAGAAGTTTGGAATAATGGGTCCCATGTGCTTTTTTGAAATCCAAATGATTTCAAATGAACCCATGCTGCATTTCCTGAAAGCACTGGAAGCCCAAGTAGATCGTAGAAACCATTGGTGCCAGTGTTCTCTAGGATCTACTGAGGCTCACAATGTTTTTGGGAAACGCAGCTATCGCCGATCTGGAATATGTCTACATAGTATCTTTGACTTGGTTCAGTTGTCTAAAGCTTCATGGAAGATGCTGAATGCTGGCATTGTTTTGCATGTGTGCTAAGCATCAAGTGGCCTTCTAAGTTGGGAAGTTGAACGGATGACAGCCTAAACTCTGTAAGAAGGTTGATCTCCAAAAACAGGTTTTAGCATTTTCTCAAAGCTCACACAGGCCTCACCCTGAGAACGAATACACTTCTTTGGCAAACTTCCTGAGCAGTACTTGCTTAGAAGCATCAGTGAGGATCAGCACAACGTTGATGTGACCAGGCTTTAACCTGACTAGGTTACTCGTGTAGGTGATGTCCGTGAGCTCTGTCACCTCCACAAAATTCTTCTTAGGTGGACGACTGTAACAGGAAAACCAACTCTTAGCGATTCAGCTAATGAACATCTGAACATATCCGTGATCTCAAAATCTCTATTTGACTTGCTGTTATTATAGTTTATTATCAAGCAAGCAGTCCCTCACCTTGAAGTGCTCTCTTGACCTGGAGAGCTCTCTGCTGTCTTTGGTGACCCAGTGGCCTTTTGTTTGGCTGGTTTGTCTTCCCCAGCGTCACTGTTCGATCGATCAATCAATCAATCAATCAATCAAGAACTCTCCTTACAAAGACACAGTTATATACCATATATACAATATCTATATCCACTGTATACA